ACAGTATGACTGTTGAATAAAGAGTAGCCTACAAGATTTCCAGGCCTTCTGCTTTTGTTTCATCTGGCTATGAATATTATGTTTAAATACCTCTAATTAAAGATAGTTTTTAAAAGTCTCTATAGATGCAAATAACTTAGGCTTGTTCTTTTTAGATATTTTACTAGCTAAAAGTCATAAATAACATTTGCCATTAATCTGCATTGTCTCACAGGCCTATATCTATTTATTTATAGTACAGGCAAATTATATAACTATAATTTATGTTAGTTATCAGCCATAGTAGTAGTATTATTTATGCTGCAAATTAAGATCAGTGTAATGTACATACATTTCAATCAGTCTTCCTGATTATTATTTTTTTAATAGTCTTGCAAAGGACTATAAAATCAAAGTTGCTTTGAATTTGTACTTTGAAAAAAAAAGTAAATTGTGTAAAAATGTATAGAATTAAAGTTTCCTGTGTTGTATATTTTTTTAATAATTTTTATAAAAACTATTTCTTGATGTCCAACTTATTTCTTTTTACTTAAAATGCTACTATGTCAAATGGTGGTACTCGTCTTGATAATTGTTCATAACCAGTCTTGTATTAGCACATGAAATATTTTAGCTTGAGCTATTCAAAGTTTTATTTTTTGTCTTTTTTTATTATTAATTGAAGATTTGATCATTTAATTTATTTGATGAAAAAGTGGCAAATTTTTTAGCCACGAGGCATTAAGCTGTTAAAAAAATGTGGTAGTATCTTTATAGCATAGTTATGCCAATTAAAGCTATATGCACATTTCCCACAATGCTAATTGGATGTTTAAGGGAAGGGGTACATGTCTATATATCATTAACATAAAAAAAAATGATTAGTAATAAGAGTTTCACCAGTTTACTTTTGTGACGGATGCATTTGCATTCCCCATTATAACAGCATGGTTTTGTTGACATCACTCAACATAGTCTATAGCAATTGCACCTGGGTGTACATGTCATTTAATCATATCATAATAATATCAAGGATTTCTAGCTTACTTTTTGAAAAAAACACAACTGTGAAAGCAATATTTAAAGCTTCTAAATTTTAAACATGTTTTAGAAATAAGTAAAAAAACATCTCAAATTAAGTGTTGAGTGTTTGAGTAGCTAAATAAGATGATTTGCCAATGGAATTAGTACTTTTACTCTTAAAATAAGATAATTATATTTATAAGATAATTCAAATGTAAATTATCTTTTTCCAATGGCAAAGTGTCACACTAACCTTACACTAACAAAACCCCTTGTTCTAACAGAAAATAACTTATTTAGATTTTGTTTTTGTTTTTTTGCAGTGTACAGAGTGCTTCATATAACAAAGAAATACTTTCCCATTTGGAATCATAAAAAGCGAGATGAACAGTGTTAGTGGTATAAGTATTGGTGTTTGGTACAGACCACAATTGCTCAGACAAATGTGAAGGTGTAAGAGTGAGCTTATATCAATACCGCTTAAAGCCTACTGCTCTTGCCTACAAAGATCATAGTTCATTTAAAGCCCATTTAAACACATCAGCAGACATTACTAAAGCTCCGCTTGGGTATACCTTCTGGATGTGATAGAGTGAGACAGAAAGGCGAATCACTTCACATCCCACAGTAAAAGCCCCGGATTGCATGTCACTGCATTGGCTATCATCCAGACCTTCCATTAGTTTGTCACCAGACCATGGCAGAAAGGCCTTTGTCACTCTGTTCAGTAACAGAAGAAATAGTCTTAGCTGATACCTTACTTTGTGAAACTTGTAATTCTTGTACATAGATTGCTCTTCCTCATTATTCATATGTTAAGAGCAAAATATAAGGGTGAACTATACATTATGTATTAGTTTATTATTTAGAAATAAAACAATCAATGTAGCTTTCTTGTTTTTTTATCCCGTGACAGGCTGCATTAAGTGGTTCATTATCAAATTACAATCTTCCCATATTTTTATTTTAACAAACAAATTCATCAACCTTTGTTCCAATCATTCTTGATTTCAGTACTGAATCTTCAGTTTTTGTTCTGTTATTGGATTAAAAAGGTGCTGGTGTAAAACTACCCTCTTTAAATTTTAACCATCTGTTCTTTAGTGTGAAGAATTATTCACACTGGTTTCACTGTTGGATTAACAATTAATAGTTTAACTGCAGCTAAATGGTGAGTTTTGTAGCTAGTGTGTAACATCAGCAGGGATGGAGAGAACAGATGGTATTGGTAAAGTTTTTATGTTTTTGCCCTGTCTCAAAAGGTGCCATCTGGTTCATTTAGGCAACATGCCACACCACTAATCACAACTTGTAAACAATCACATCATGGTGGTTTTTCTTTGTAGCCTCACAATCGACATTAGGCATGACCAAATCTGATTCCCAGTGGTGGGTGAAGGTAAGACACAATAAAATTACTGGTAGCTGAGTCAAATATAACCCAATTCCCATTAACTGTTATTAGAAAGTTGTTTGTGATTTGATGAGCCACACCTCAAGTGAACTATGCAGCAACCTTTTTTTTTCTATTCAAATCGTCAACATTTTTTTTCCAATTTTTGGCATTTTAACCTTTCTCAACACTGTTCGCATTGACAGAATAATTGCATATTTTCTTCCAAAATTACAAAGCATATTTGACTTTCCTAACTATCTGACCTAAGTCAGATAATAAGTAAGATGTGTTATGCCTTTTCTGAAAATTGTTGGAGTTTTTCCTGTCTCAATTCAATGGCTTTAGGGTTCTTTTATAAAATCTAGCTTTCTACAAGAGGACATTATTTCATGCTGACCTTGGTTATATTTCTAAAACTCAGGAGGAGCAAACTTTTAAAGTCTCTAGATCCCAAAAACGCTTTTTGAATAAGAGAAATGTTCCTTCAGAATAAAGATAAGGGTCCACAAGGGTCTACCAGCTCTGAGGAATGCATATAGAATCTAATGTTTTTTTATTTGTTACTTCCCCAACAGCTGATATAAGGTCCTAAAACAATTTTAATGTCAACTATAACTGATATGTCTTAGTTTCAAATTAGTTAATGAGACATTGCACAAGAAATGGTGCTATTTATTAGCAAAAAGCGAGTATTGTTTTTATAAATACCTATTCTGCTAATATCTGCAATAAAAATGAGACTGTTCTCATAACACCAACTGGAAAAAATGTTATGTTACATTATGTTATTGGAAGGCGGTTAATAAAGGCCTTGGGCATTTTACTAAATAAAGACGTCTTGCTGATGGAGGAGCAGAAAGCAAAGATGACTTGAGATCATCCTACTTACAGTTTTCTGTTGAAATGTAGGACCATTCATGCTCTTTTCCTGTGAGAGGGAAGGGAAAATAATCAAGAAAAAAAAAGGAATAACCAAGAAGACAAAAGTCTACATCGGCTTAGCTTTTAACAGGTCGAGATAATTCAAGAGGGAGGGGGGCTTCAACATTGGAGTGAGGGTTGTAGGCATTTTGTAGAAAGGTAGTTCAATTCAGTTTATTTATATAGCACCAATTCACAACACGTTATCTCAAGGAAATGTACAGTTCACCAGATCATATAGTCAAATTGATTTAAAGTTTTCTATCTAAGGAAAACCATTAGATTGCATCGACTCATTGACTCAAAGGCGATTCCTCAAAACAAGCATTTCCTTTAGCGACAGAGGAGAAATCTCCAGCAGAACCAGGCTCCATGTGAGCGGCCATCTGCCAAGGCCGACTGGGGTTCAAGAAGACAGAAGCAGAGACACAAAAGGCAACTGTAAATGGCGGCCCCATCCAGGAAACACACAGCCAGGCAGACGAGCTCCGAGCCAGCTCCCATGTCAGAGGATGAAGAGAGTGCATCCAGCTAGTCACAGTTAGGGAACCAGGACTGCACTGAAAAACAGGCAGATCTCGAACAACTATAAACAAAGGTGTTGATGGTAGCAACACAGCTGATATTTCTCTCCAGGATGGTGTTGAATTCAATATAATAGTGAAGTTTTTTTGGCCTTATGTTAGACATAGGAAAGTGTAGTCCGGCAACTACTCTGTCGTCTCGGCAGAGACTGCTAGATTCTTGCAACAGTTGTCAGTTGCTGTTAGTCTTCACATAAGTTATATCTGTAACTTTTGGCATCAATAAAAACTGATTAACTATTTTTCTGTATCTTGATTCATCGATGGGACACTTGAACGCTCATTGAATGTTGACATGATAACATTTGTGTAATAGCTACACATACTGTAATAGCCTTGTGAACTGGATAACCCAGGTCCAAAAAGTAAAATGCCTGTACAGAGATCAGTTCTAATCATTTGCATTGCTAGCTCCATAACATAGACTTACCTGAGTCTGGACCTGGATTATCCACCTCTGCTAGGTATTACGCATGTAATGGCAAGGCACTAGAGCCCGCTTATTGTTCATTTGTAATTAAAAACGCTAACCATCTCCATGTGGGGGTCTGTGCGTCTACAAAAGTGAAATAATATTTAAGGCCGGGTCGTAATCTTGATTAACTGACAGCACAGACATTGTTGTAGGTGGATTTTTTCGCATAAAAATGCGTTAACCGTGACACCTACGCAGACGACCTAATTTCAAAGTATCAATCAGCCTTAAACCCTATGAGACACTCCTAGCTAAAAGCCAAAGGCCATTTGAGCATTTTTCATGGCATTTTACATCTAAGATGTTAAGAATTTAAAGCAGGGGTGCGCAATTTCATTTCCTAAGGACCGATATCCTGCAACTTTTATGTGTGGCTTCGTTTTAACAAAACTGAATCAATTAAATAGATGATTGAGAAGACTCTGGATGAACTGAATTCATACTGAAAAGCTAACTCAATCATCTGGTTCAGTTGAGTTGGAGCAGATGGATCTAAAAGTTGCAGGATTCATTTTAATGTGTAATTAAACTTGAAATAGCACACTGTATAACTAAACGTTGGTCCTGATCTGGACATTGTTAATTAATAAATTGAAACTGAATGGTTAGCTTTTCTGTCCAAGTGGCATTTATTTAAGAAAACAGTGCTCATTACATGACCAAACCATAGCATTTAGCCAGCCCTAACTTTATCTTTTTTTTTACAACTCTAGTACAAGTCTATTTACAGAATCCAACTAACAGAAACATACATTTTCACATAAGCCTTTTTCATTAATTACAAAAATCCTCAAGTGTCTCCAAAAATAAAAAATACCAATTGATGATTGAAAGATAAATAGATAAATACACACACATTCAATCATATTCAGTCATACAATAAATAAATAGAACAATAAATAACATTCAAAACATTCTTTGGGCAAACTTGGCCCAGCTCATTCACCTCACAGGTTCTAGCATTGGTCTCGATGCCAGTCTGAGCACAGTACAGCATGCTGAGTGAATCAGCTTTACTTATGGAGTTATACAAAAGAAAAAAATATATACTGGATATGTGCCATGAAATAGCAAGTGAAACAACAATTATATTGAGGCACTTTAAAGGATGTTCCAGGAAATGACAACATTTCCATGCATCTTCCTCGTAAGAGAAGAAAATGTAGGACTTGAAACCACATTCAACTAACAAGAAATGGAATGACTGCTCATCCAATCATGTGAACAAAATTTCCCTTAGTTTTTTTTTTTTTTTTTTTGGAGTTTTTTTTACAATTTTGGAAATTAATTTTGTGAAATGACCTTCTAAAAGAGACACAGTGAGTTGTAAAAAAAAAAAAAAATAAATAAAAAATAACCTAAAAGGAAAGGATGAAAAAACATGAGGCAACAGCAGAAAAAACAAAATAGAAAAACTGATCAAATAATGTTACATCCTCCCCCTTTGAGGAACATCAGTGTTTGTTCTCTGTGTTTGTCGAATCCGAATGAGTTTCTGACTGCTCTCCAAAGATCCCTGCAAGAGTCTTAAAGCGAGGCCCCCAGTCACTGAGGTAGTCATAATCCTCCTCAAAGTCTATTGTAAGAGACTCGATAGAGCTCAGAGACTCAGCTACAGAACCATCACCCTCGTAGGCGTATGTAGCCAAAGAGTCGTAGGGCGGAGCCGAGTTGTCAGTGTCGTGCTCTTTCAGTCTCTGGTTGATGAAGTCTCGAATATCCGAACTGTCCTGAGAGACAGGCGGCCTGGGGCCTTGTTGCATCTCAGGCTTGATGTCCCTGCGGAACAGGTTCTCCTTGACTACTTTGGGGTTTCGAAGGGTTCCCATGTCAAAAGCATGTGTGTCCTCTTCCCCTCCTCCTTCATCATCGTAATGGATCACATTATCTCGGATGTCTTCTTTGGATGACATTAGGGTTTCCTTTTTCTTTTGCCGTCTCAAGCCCACATAGAGTACCACGATAACTGGGGAGAAAGTTCATATACATGTTAGAAAACCACTGGATTGTGTCCAAGAGCTGCTTATTGAACAATTTTCTTTGATGTATAAATTAAAACAGGTTAAGGGTTGAATCAAAGTTACATTTATTTTAAGTTACTCTTTTCTGACCCCGTTACTAACACAGGGGTCCTTTACAGAATCTTAGCACCATTTTGTAAATCCCGACTACTATTTTGTAGCCATAGCAGCGCTCAAACAATAGTAGCTTGGGTGAAAGACTGAATGAAGCTCTTAATCAAATGTTCATAAAGGCTGATCCATCAGGAACAATTAAGTCATATCATTCAAACGATTAAATCAATTGTAGCGAAATTAATATTCAAATTGTAAAATGCAGCATTTGTTTGAAGAACCAATGTCATATTTACTTGTATGGCAACTGTTTTTTGTAACTTTATATTATTTTTGCCTTTGGGGTAGGGGTTCTATGCCAGGTTAATTGAACTGCACAATATCTCTCCCTCAAAAACAGCATGCCTGATGTCAAACTATACATGTTTTGGGTGAAGGTGATACTAGGGCAATGTAGGTTCAATTCAGTATTTGGGGGGTAGTCAGACAAACCATTGGCAAGGTCTTGACCCAAAATGACAAATCTAGACCTCAACAGACACAAAAACATTGTAAACTTTACTTTAACTGTTACTTCTTTAGCCATATTCGGTTGTTTGCATTAAGTGGTGACTTAGATTAAAATTGTGATGATATTCATCCAGATTAAATTTTTTTTTTAATTGAGAAATTTATTTTAAACTAAAGGATTTATGAGGCTTAAAGTATCATCAGACATAATTACATTTTGCTCTCAGGTGTATTTAAAAAGCTGGTGAACTACTGTTTGGTGTGGAGGCTGCAGCGCCTCAGACTGGAAGAAAGTGAAGAGTTAGTGACAACTGCACGGAAGATCATCGGGGCTCCTCTTCCCTCCATAAAAGACATTTCATCCCAGCACTGTGTCCCAAGCCCGTAACATCATAGATGACCCCTCACACCCCCACCATGGACTGTTCTCCCTGCTGCCCTCTGGAAAGAGACTTCGAAGCATCCGATGCAGGTCGAGCAGATTCCAGAACAGCTTCTTCCCCAATGCCATTCAACTGCTAAATGTTATATAAAATGGGGCTTATAAAAATAAAAAGTGATGATAGTTGGAAACTGTAAATCTTATACCAGTCTTATGTTTACATTTACTGTTTCTTACATTTTATCACTGCTGCACTTTAGAATGGAAAAGTCTTGAGCAAAATTTATGTTTGTATACACTCTGTGTGTACAAAATGACAATAAAGTATGTCTAAGTCTATTTTGTTATGTAATAGAAAAAGCTGCAAAATGCATGATATAAATTAGGATGCTGTGTGTTTATATATTCCTTCTTTACTATCACAGAGCCTGCCAACTTATCTTAAAAGCTTGCTACACAGCTTGTATTTAGGTGCAATTCAGGTCAACACCCAGGGGGGAGTTTTTAAAAGTAATTTCTGTCATTTGTGATTCATTTTCATGAAATAAAAGGTTGGGAAATCAATCTCTGTGTTTTATTTTTAAGCCATAACACCCAAGGCTTTGTCACTTTGGCGTTCTTTGGGGTTTTGGGGCTGCATACAGTGAACTAAGCATGAGAGAGCTTTCTTCAAATTAGTGTTGTAGCGCTTGATTCGAGTTGGTTAGGAATAACATAGGAATAAGGCTGCAAGTGAAACAACATTTTTGCACTTAAAGGTATGGTGGCAGATCTTTGCGAAATTTTGAAAAGATCTGCCCTCTCCCCTTTAAAAAAAAAAGAAAAAAAGAACTTGCACAACCCTGTACCCGCTCCCGAGAGGGAAAGCCTATTAAATGCGTGCAAGAGCATGCACAAGCCCATTTTCTCCTCGTGCACACTTTGTTTAAAATTTGCTGTTTGTTTTTTTCATACAAGCTTACTTTCCAAAAGAAGATTTTAAATTTTTCCACTCTGTCAGACTCACGACCGGTAAGTGAAAAAGGGGACGGGCACGTGGGACGGCCTTACAAAAACATATCACCAGAATGATTGACAATTAGGAGGACCACTTATTTAGATGATCCACCCAGAAAAAGAAGATCCTCCACTATACATTTAAAATAGGACAAAATTCTATTCTGAGGTCATATATCAAATTCAGTATTTATAATCATCAAAAAACTCATTTCAGATAATCTTACTTGCTGGACAAATACACTTCCTGTGAGAATTGTGCGACTCATTTTTAGAAACATTTCAGCAGTGTAAGAATGTCGACCCTAAAACGAGCTGTTTTTCACAAAAAAAATAAATAAATAAATGGCAACAAAAAACTAACGTGTGTGGATGCCGGCAAAAAAAGCAAAGAAAATATATATATATATATCAAATATATATCAATTTCTTGTGCACTCTTTTTAAAACAAAAAAGTCAAGAAAAGACAGCTTTTAATGTCAGATATGTTTTTCATAAAAGAGTATATACATATATACATACTATTCAAATTATTGTTGTTATTATTACTCATATTTAATAACACAGTGATAGTTATATTACTTCCCATTACTATATAAAAAAATGGTAAAAGGGAATCCCTTCAGCCAAAAAACTACTTTAATTAGCAAGGCAAAATATTCTTGGTAATACATCACTTTTCCAGCTACTATTTCCCCAAAGGGTTTTATTATTATAATAATTTATGAGGCTATCCCTGCATTAACACGTTGTAAATTTCTCACTTATACAACTTTGGATTTTATTTCTAGCCATTAAACTTTTCTAAATTCATTCCAGAACTTTATGCAGAAGCTCCTGCAGAGCTTTGCTATGTCCATCAGACTTTATTATCTCATTAGAATTGATGTCATGCTAACATGAAGCGCTCAGATGATGAACATCGTATTCTACTAGTGAGCATGTTAACATACTGACATTTGCAATTAACTCACAAGCCCTGTTGTGCTTACAGTACAGGCCAAGAGATCTGACTCTAAACGACTGATCCTGGCCAGACATCTGAGTTAGCTCATTATTTCAATTACACAGCCAGTACTTGTTTTATCTTAACTTCCTTTAATTGTGAGGTAAAACAACAGAGATGTGCAAGTTTCATCTAAACTATTCCTAATTTCTATCTGCATGCAGGGCTATTTTCCAACATGTTTTGTCTGTGCATTGAAAATCATTAATAGACAAATGAAAGCGGTTTAAATCCTATGCCTGCAAGCATGGCCCCAATATTTATAAGGCATGATTGTTTGGTAAGGATACCAAGATTTCCTGGTCTCAACACAAAAACTGAAATGCTTTAATAAAAAAGAAAAAAAAAGAATTGTTGGTGAGCTCCTGCTACATTATTCTAACAATATACTGTATGAGCGTTTGGATACATAGAATATCCAAACCCTTTGAATGCAAACTAATGTCAATGTCTTTAATAAATGTATGCACTCCTCTGTTAAAAAACAAAAACAACTTTGTTGTTGCAATATACTAAAATATTAAAAAGGTTTGAGGTCTTGAAAGACTTATGCAAGCCACTGTATTGATTATTAGAATAGAAAATCCCTTTATAGTCCAAAACTGGGGAAATTCTGGTGTTATAATCCTAACATCACTACGATATTTGCCTTTTTTAGTTGTTTTTATAACATGAAATATTTCCAAAAAGCATTATTTGTCGACGTTTTTAAGAGACGGTGAGCTATTTTGTCAGCTGACCATCAGTGCTAAGCAACGGGTTGGGGAGGGGCCACACTGTGTTTCATAATTTCAGATAAAATCATGGGGGCTCTTTCTTTGAAAGCTTAATGCAATTAATTTAGACATTATGAGCTTTTTTACTATAAAGGTTTTGAATTGATGATTTTGATGATGTCTGTATAATGTACTTTTAAAACCTTGCTACTATTTGATATTTGATATCAGTGACCAAGCAGCCCATGCCCACATGTACGTTAACATTAAATTTCACTAATGGAAACAAAACAAAAAATCAAACAAAAACAATATCTAGTAGTTCCCTTTACTCCAGCATACTTTAGGCTGCATAGACCACTATTGTGTTGTTCTCTTCCTATTGCAAAGCAGTAAATTTCCTGCTTTCCCTTCTCTCTTGTCACTGCAATCTGTCTTCCTCTGTCTATCTTCCCTCTGTGTCCCTTCCTCTGTCTCTGCACTGAATAATGCAGTAAATATGTGTTTTTCTCTCTGCTATGTGATGTATAGCTGCACATCGGAGGTGGAGCAATAGTAAGAATAATTCTGAAATCAGTCAGTGAAATGAAAGAGTCAAATAAATACATTGATGTTGAAAAAAATATATATGCTGCTTTAAAGACCTCTTTTATATAACTCCTCCACTTCCTTCACTTGCAAATGAACTCATCAAGCTTTATGCAGTGTTTCAGCTCCCCCTGGTGGTATATTATCAGACTGCAGTAACTGTGCTGGTGAAGAAGGGCATTGTGGATGCCCACTAACCTATACAGAATCTGCTCATCAGGTTTGAGGGACTAAGAAGCTAATTGAAGCCTGTTTTATTTGGATCATTACTTCTATTGCTCCAGCTAAACCTCTGTGTCTCTATGGAAACTCTCATAAGGAGAGTTCACATTCACTCTACCACTTCTGTTGCTTGGGCACAGCCTGACAGTTTGGCATCTTCCTGAGCCTTAAGGGAATAATTCAAGCGGGAGCTTTAAAGACAGCCTTCTAATGGGAAGGACGCATTGAAAAACCTCTGTAGCACTCCACAACAGTCCACCATGGGTTTTATAACATTAAATACTCATCTTTAAAGAGGATATTTTCCCAGAAAACATGAAAAGGTTTTGAGGAAAAATTGACTGATTTTAATGCAGGGTTTTTCAATTACATCTGGTGTTTAAATTACAAGAGAATTTGAATCTAAACTGTAAAGTATCAACTACCCTTGAATCTCAGTGTCTTTAGGAGCCCCATTTTCCAAATTTATAATTAAAAAAATTATGCCATAAACCACCATGTACCTCTTCTTAGCTATGCAGATGAGTTTGTGAAATTAATATCAGAGAAATAAAGGGGGGGTGGGTGGTTTGTCTTACAACCATGACCTTGCAGGAAACATAAAAAGCTATAGCTTGGGACACATCACTAGGGCACAGAGATTAAAATTAGTTTATAGAGCTAAGCGACTCCTCCCTCTGATCTTTAATGTCCCATTGAATGAGCATATATGGGCTCTATAATTAAATGCGGGTGCTCTTGGACAAATGCCAGCCCTGCTAAAATGGTCATTTCTGGTTGTCATAAAGGGGAAAATTGTATAACAGGGAAATGAAACCTTCTTGACATCTAAATATTCAAGACTTTAGTATGCGAAAGAGATGAAGGTCATAGTGTTGGAAATCTATGAAACTTCCAAGAGGATTTAAAATGCCTTTTTATTTAGGGTGTCATACTGTAGTTTATTATGATGATTACTGATAACTCTGTTAACGTCTTTACAGAAATAAGCTAGAGATCAGAATAATTGGACCACTGAAAATTATTTACGTACCTAAATGGAAGGTGAAATGTTTTACCAGCTCTTCTAAGCCATTTATTTCCACATGCAGAAAAAGCTGGCAGATGGTATGAAAGAAAACAAATAATGGATGGATGGATGGATGGATGGACGGATGGATGGATGGATGGATGGACGGATGGATGGATGGATGGATGGACGGACGGACGGACGGACGGATGGATGGACAGTGGACATGTCAATAACTATGTTTACAAGGACACAAGTAGTTGGATTGTAAACATGTCAGACTGAAGATTCAAATCTTTCCAGTCGGAAATAAATTTCATTCTGATTGAGAGAGGTGGGTTTTTTCAGATCGCCATTCTAATTGGTGTCCATGTACACACCTATTCGGATCAGTGGAGTAAAATAATCTCATGTGAGCAACATCAGCGTGATGTTTTTCTCTTTACTGTCCTTCATCTACTGGAACCTGGTCCCCCTTGGTAGAGGAGGTGGCTCTAAATGGGATGTGTGGATGAACATGCCATCATGCTCTCTACCCCTGTGGCGCAGAAGCTTTAGCATAAGATACTGCTCAGCCCTAAGATGACCACCACAGGGTGGTAGGGTGCTTCAAAGGTTCATAGTGAGGATGAGTGCACATGTAAAGGTTTGTTTACAAAAAAAGGAGCTTCTTCTTCGACTACTAAAGCATTTCCAGATTAATATATGTGTATGCTTGAATGATTTAATATGATTTAAAGGTTGATTCATGTATACACCTATAAATGATTGGATAATGTTATTTATTGTCCATGTAAACAGAGATTTTGAAATTCCAATCAACCAAGATTGAGATAGGATTGGAGAAATTTTGCCCATAGAAACTTATAATAAATTGATTTAGAAAACCAGGTGGGCTTCCATTCTGTTCTCAGAGGGATCAAGTAATGGAGTACAAATACTTTTTTACCTTACTGAAGTAGCTTTTTGGTTATCTAAACGTTTGACATAGATAACATATGCATTTGTCAAAGCACATTTAAAGAGAGAACTTTTTTTTTTAAATTTATCATTTCAGAATTTGAGCAAAATGTGCATTCAAGAGAGTTGAACAATTGCCACTGCAATGTATTTCCTACTACTTTTTTACTCTGTTAATTTTTTTTTCATGTGCAGCACTTTGAGATGTCTCTTTACTGAACTGTGCTAGGCTGCAGAAATAAACGTGTCTTGCTTTACTGCATACATATAGGCAGCCATATTAGGGTAAATTGTAAGTGCTAAGCTGCCTGGATACAATGGTTTTCATTGTTATCTTCCATCTACCTGCTACCCAGATTCCTGCTGCAAAGCTTGGATGTAGTTACATTTCAATAAAAGGTCATTGATTATGGTTTGTAAGTTAGATTTTTTGCACCATTGTAATATTAGGCAACAAATCTGCTCTATGAAACACACACATGCATATACTGATGGTAGTGAGATACATTTTAGCCACAGCTGCCCTGGGTCTCACACAGGCGCTACACCCATCAGTAAGCAATTTGATAGTGAAGGGTTAGTGCTTAGGGACCGGTTTGGGATCGTTGACTGAGACTGAGCATGGGGTTTGAACCAGAGACCCTCCGGTGGGAAGGTGGACTCCTACATTTGACACCTCTGTTGGCTTTATTATATATAACAGAACATTGACATCAGTATAATCTTTAGAAAAAAGTTTTTTGGGTTTGTGCAGTGCGCCATAGACCCGTGTGAGTCTAAGCCTTTCTCCTTAATGGCATTGTTTTTTTTTTGTTTTTTTTACATCACTTTTGTAATTATTTTATTTTATCTTTTTTTCATCCACTGGAGTAAAAAGCTTGAGTGTATGCTTAAATACCTAAAAGTGTTTTTAGAACCATCCCTACTGTCATTACTTCTACTTGAGTAATAAATGTCAATACTTTTGACATTTCGCTCTTTTCCACTCTATGTATAACTTATACATTCGACTGAGTCCAATGATATAATCGTAGAAAAAAATCCAATTGAGTACAGTTATATGCAATGATCTTTACTGTGAATGATTAAAATCCCTTTCATTTTGATTTTATTGCTCATTTGTGCTGGCTAAAAATGAACAACAAAAACACTCCTAACTTTAAAAGCAGACAAAACCACCATTAGCAAAGGAATAGTGGTGGAATAGAAATGTCAGTAGTTTGACATTTTATAAAATGTCAACATCTCTCTTTTTGAAAAGAGTTAGACATATTGATCAATACCACTGTCCTGAAATCCAGTTGTCAATGTTTTCCACTGAGTGTAAAGCAGGTAGACTGCCTTCATATGAAAAAACAGAAAGGACTTTAATGATGAAAACAAACAAAAAACCCAATTAAGTCTTTATAACAATTAATAAAAGAGTATTAAATCCTATAGGAGTCCAATTAAATTTGGTTTTGCACAGCTTTTTTTCCCCCTTGATTTAACCAGGTAAACCCCTTTGAAATCTGGATCTCATTTTCAAGGGGGACCTGGCCAGAGATATGCAAATGGCCAGTGTACAGTTTCGTCCTACCTTCAGGCTTGTTTTAAGCTGTAAGTTTTTGCTAATGGTTCATGCTATGACACCTCCTAAGCATAAAAAAAAGTGAGAATAATTTTATACGTCAAAAAAAAGAAAGGTGTACAACAGACTGTCTTCTGAAAACTTTCAGATTACTTTATCGAACTTTGGGGTTATTCTTTTAAGTTATTTTCATAGCTCTTGGTTGAATCTAAATCCCTGAGCTAGCTTCTGGAACTGGAAGGGTACTTTATAAAAAGTCCAGATAAATTTACTTCCAGGCAAATTTACTAAATGCACAGGTTATTATTTTTTTAATCTAAGGCAGAGCATTTCACTCTAGTGAGCTTCATATTCCTCTTCTGCTCCTTTGGCTTCCAGATAGATGAGTCGCAGTAGCGCCATCTCACTGCGGATCTGAGTCCGTTGTGGTTTTCAGACGTACGGTACTCACACTGTACAATGGTTTTTGTCGTACAGTGTGAGTTGTAGCTGTGAGCAACGATTGAAAAAAATCGTACACTGTATGCCCGGCTTAACTCTCGGAACTTTAAGGTCATTCGCACATACACTATTAGCAGAGGGTAGCTTTAAAAAAAACATAAATATTGTCTCTAGAAGACAAATACATACTCCCAAAAGTGTACAGTAGCACAGTTTTTAAAGATTCCCAAAATAAAAATGATAAAGAAACACTTAACCATTTCAGAGACCTATCAGAAAACACTAACTTGTAGGTAATGTGGACTGTTTAATCCAACTTTTTTCGGTGCTTTCTATTTTCTGTGTGCTATAGAAGTTAAGTTTCCACGGAACTACTTCTAAGGAGCCTACGGGTTAATTTTTAAAATTATTACTTTTATGTTACTTATTGAAATTTAGATGATGATTTAAAATTTGCTGTGCTACCTTCTGTCTGTCAGTTGCTCAGGGCTCAATTGGCTTTAAAATTATATGCAGCCTTAATTATTATTTTATATTCCGCTCTGCTTTAGAACAAGGTAAAGAAAAGGCATACAAATATTATTTTTATTTAAACAGAACCTTCAACTTAACACCCACACATTTCATTTAACCAGTAAATGCATACTGTCTCTGTCTTATATCTGGATATCTCTGTAATGACCTGTACATGTTCTGTATATGTGGTTGCATTTTAATTGGAAGTTTTACAAACAGGCATGGGCATCTTGCAAAGATATCATCTAAAAAGTTTAGTAAAGTTTCAGTCTCAGTAACTTTCAGTTACCGCTGCAAAAGACTTTCAACCAGATCTTACCTAATAAGATGACGATACACAAAAGTATGGCGATGAGAGCTCCTGTGCTTAGCCCCACAGGCAGAAAGATGGCCTCAGCGCTGCATGTTAGGAGTGAGCCATCTAATTCGCAGCCACACACGCGAATGGTTAGAGTGCCAGTGCTGCTCTTTCGCGGGTAGCCGTTGTCTTCTATCACAACAGGCAAATAGTAGATCTCCTGCAGACGTCGTCTGAAGCCACTTCGCTTTGTGACAATTCCAGCTGTGTTGTCTGAAAGAAATACAGAAAACTGATTCATATCCATTCAAAATAATGCATTTTAAATTAGAAATAGTAATAAAGTAGGTCTTATTTTTCAACTAATAAGAAGAAGTTATGAGAAAACAAACACAATAAAGACTCATATTAATTAAAATACCCTCTAAGGTCATTTAAAGAGATAAGAATCAAAATGCAAACTTAATTTCTCATGGTGTTTGCTTTTTAAAACCTTTAAATTGCCTCTCAGATTAAATTAAAAAGCTCCTTCTTTTGAAAACCTACGGAAAAAAGGTCTTAATCTTAATCTCTCCCTGCTCCGAGATCTCCTTGTTTTCCCACCTCTCTTTCACTAGGTAAATATTGAGTCTGAAATTTGCTGTAACAGATTCTAGCTAAAACAAAAAGGATGTAAAAATATGAAAAGTAGCGAGTTCAGTAGACGACCAAAGGTGTAAGCAAAGCAAGTTGAATAAAGGGTGACAATGTACACGCAAGAGGAGGGATATGTCAGTTCGAACCTGCCTGTTCCTGTCTTCCACAGCCACATTGTCTGACCCCTGTCAAGCCAGGTTTGTAGCACCAACAAAGTCTGCACTTTTTTTCTGACAGGAGGTCAGGCGTTTTAACACACCTTCCATGTTGTGCACAACCATGATTTTTGTTTGCACCCTCTCTCTCTGGCTGGACCTGTGTGCATCGCCTTGGGGTTTGTGTTTCCTGTCCTTACCTATCAGATCCTGGTCTATATCCACAGAGTGTGTTTCCTTGGCTGCTGGCATTCAGGAAAGTGAAAGACAGTGTGCCCAAAAGGTAAAAGTGGATCACAGGTTCAGACCTGGGCTTGTCAAGGACGGTGAATCTATTCGTTTCCCCTGGCCTCATCCTGCCATGTCCCACTTTTCACTGCACGTCTCTCTGACTCAACTTCAAAGAGCTTGGAGAGTGCACGCTGAAGAGTGTCACACGTGGCCTTATCATATCAAGGTGTGCTTTAAAGTTATTTTCAGAACAGAAAATTGACACTCTAATGACCTCATACCAGCTTCAGCCACTTCTTGATCTTTGGGGAGTTTTTAATAATTAGAATATCTAAAATAGAATATGCAGTAGAAAGGTTGTGTTTACAAGTTTCTGTTATGATTTAGAATTTTAAAATATATATATATAGACTTTGCATTCCCCATTTACCTGGTTGAATAATTTTTCTTCTTTTTTTTACCCAGCTGTTCCTTGTTTTTAAGCATCAAAACCTGTGTCTATTTAAACTTTCTCATCATAACACTTAGATTCTTAAGCATACTTTGCTCATTGTCAGCATAGTCATTGCCTTGATTTAGTACAGAGGCATCTATTGTTGCTTTGCCTTATACCCTCAATAAGTTCTTGGTAAACTCGCTAATCATTACTGAACCTTTTTACACAAACATTACTGTTAGACCCTTTCCACCCAAACAGGGTTGTTTTTTGGTCAGATCAAATAATTATCAAGCTCATATTTAACATTAGTGAAAGGAAAATACAAGTAGCACCTTGTTGTTTTAGAAACAACAACCCTTTATTTGTACAAAATCTATTTAGTGAGTTGAAAAGCAGTTATTGGTGAGAATACAATAATACCTTTTCAAAATTGGTTAGAAACATATATGGGTAATCTCTCAAACAGGTACAATTGAGATGTATTTAGTAAGTTTTAGGCTATTTTGGGTCTGGTGAGCATTTTATGTGTTAATTTGCCAAAAGACAGTGATGCCCTTTTATTTGTTTTCTGCTTGGAGAAAGTTGAGCTTCTACAAAGCCAGATTAATTAAGCTGTTCTTATGTCTGCCAGAAGCTTTCTTCTCAATGACAGCAGATGGAAGACGCTGTTAATAGTATAGAGTCAGTTGCAATCTGTAGATCTATGTGGCAGAGTTGGGGGTTGCAGAGCTCAAGTAGGTGGGTCGTAATGAAAAAGGTGGCCATGATGTTGGCCAAGATATTTGCTCTCTGCTTAATTTTCCAGAGGATGTACAGGCTGACAGGGATTGTCCCAGCCAATGATATTGTTGGGGTTCTATGACAAAGCAGCACAAAGATGATGTAATCTCCTCAAGTCCAGAACAATATATTTTGTCTTCTCTTCTTTCAAGTTCAGATTGGTTTCCTTCCACTACATGGCAAGGTTACACACCTCACGCCTGTAGGAAATCTCATCCCTGTTGTTAAATTGATCAACCCTAGTTGCTAATTGGGAAACTAACTAAAAATATTGCAGATGGGTTCATATATTAATTATTGGTTCAGCAGTATAGGGAGGAAGGGGCTGTGTTTAGAAAGTATTTTCATTCAACCTCAACTGGCTAAAGTCTGTTCGTCAAAAAATGCAGCAATCCAGCAGGCATAGAAAAATACTGAGCTCTAGTTGGTCAGTTTGTGAATAAAGTGCTGGGGGGGAATGGTGTTAAATGCTGAGCTTACATCTAGGAATAACATCCTCATATTAGAGACCTTAATGTCCAGGAGTTTCATGGTTGAATAGATAGCATTAGAGATGGCATCATTAGTCAAGTGGCTGGAGCAATATGTTCTGGCAGGTAGAACCATGGCTACCTGCTTATTTTTTTTTTTTTGTTTGTTTGTTTCTGACTATATTAAATAATCAAAGAAAATGCTGATATGTTTTAGAATACTTACTCCCAAAGTCTCTGATTGTGAAATTCTTATTTTTGACATCTTCCTTGGATGTTCTGAAGGAGAACTGTTGTCCAGCACTTTGTAGATCTTGATCCTTTGCACTGAAGATTTGAAGCACCTATTGGGCACAGAAGAATAAAGTGTTTTTCTCTTTTTAACATATATTTTACTTTACATGCTGTTTATTATTCCTGGACATGTCAAAATCTTAGTACAGATTTCTTCGTGTTGGAAGTTATTGATAACCTTTTTTCAGTGTTAAATGGTGAAAGATATTCAACCCTTCTGGCTCTGTCAGTAAATGACTCTCCCTGTCAGGTTGGAAAAAACAGCTGAACACTTCCTACATAACCTCAACATATTGTGTGATGGATTCACTTCATTTAAAATCACTGGGGCTTGCTCAGTGGTTGTAATTCTAGAGTGAGACACACCAGTGTGAAAGGTTCTAGCAGAAGCTTATGATATATTTCCTTTTCTAATATAGTTCCTTGTGTGGGAAAGCTGCTTACACACCGAATCAACAGAACAAGATTTTCAAAGTTGTATCACAACCTGGAATTGAACTCTAAATCCCTGACAAGTTGAGAAGGACATGTGGTAGATATAAAATAAAAAAAAAACACGTAGAGAACAAGGAGAACCAATTTTAAATCTTATCTTAATCGTCCCTGGTATACTAGAATGCATTGCAACAGAAGGAACAGATGGCATGAGAAAGTACAAGCAGAGCAATGAGATTAAAGGAAGAAAGATTTTGGAAATCTTTTAAACTCTTATTTTTCACCTTGTACCATGTGTAGGTTTTCATCCAATTAGATTTAGTGCTAAAGCCAGTTCCTTCCAATTTCTGACACTTAAAGAAATGGTGCTACAGTTCCACCATAAAAGCAAAAAGAAACAACAAAACATACTTCTATGAGGCGCTCGAAACACCAAACATTAAAATAAAGAAAATAAAAATTGTCAGCTTCACACTTAGTCTGCTAAATTCAACACAAACCAATCCAAAAATGTAGCCATAATAATCCAAAAAAGAAGTTAAACTAACACTAAAACATAACCAGTTTTCTTTTTCCTGCTCTTTTTATGTTAACACTCAGTAGGCAAAAGCTTTACTTGCAATTGTAATTATAGTGAAAATCACTGTTTTCAGCTATATTGAAAACATGCAATCTAATAAATCTTTTACTTATAAATTCTGCTTAAAATAATGTGTAACCCTCTTTTGAGATTCTGGCTAGATATGTAGATAAAAAACAATGATAGATGCTTAAAATACAAGTTATAAGTTAGATACAGTAGCTAAGCGTATGACATTTGGATGAGTGATGAAAATTGTGTGCAAAAATTATTTAGCCAAATGTTATTGGTGCATACACAACATATTTCAAAGCAGAAGGTAAGCCATCTAGGTTATTAGAATAAAGTATGTTAAAATAAGACAAGCTGATAAAATAGTTCACAGATTTAATAAAGATTTTTGTAATCAAAGACATTAGGGTTTTTTGTCTCAACCTTTTACAAAGAAACTTGTTCTGTTAGCCAATGAGTAAAAGAATAATGAGCCAATGAGCAAACAAGATTTGCTAGAACAATATGTAGCCACCTAAATAATCTTCCTATCACCCTTGAAGACATGCAGAACTAATTACGCTTCATCTCTGTTTTTTTTCAGCTCTTCCTGTTCCTGTAGTGCTGCTATGCACTGGGCTTGACCTGCTGAAGACCTGCTCCATCTCAAGATCCCCCTCCAACAAACAGGAATGACTAATCAGCCCTGCTGTGGTGTTACATTATTCCGACCATGCTGCTCTCCATGTTTGCCCTCTCAGTATTTGAATAAAATTCCCTGCAGAGGAGCAAAGTTGACACTGGGTGTGATAAGTGTTCTGTTATCCTTCACACAGCGGATGTTAAGTTCACAATTTCGATCTTCGGTGAGCAGGATTAGCTCTCTGATAAATATATTCTGTTGTAGTTAATTGTCACTTTAATTACTGTTGGGTAAATTAGTTTTATTTTATTTTTTTTCAGTGAACTGGTGGAGTTAATTAGCAAGTATCCATCACACAAAATGAGATGGATCATGAGGCCTAAGTTAAAAAAAAACAACTTTTTTTTTTATTCATAAAAAATCTGGAAATGCATGTTTGTGGTTTCAAAAACTCATAAAAAAATAAGAAAATATATTTTAAGAAAGATATGTGAAAATGTTCATACCAATTGTAACTATTTTTAAGGATAAACAGGTGCAGCTAAGTTATTAACAATTTGCTGAGTTTTTTTCAACATATATCGGTAATTGTTTATTCTCTTTACATAAAGCTTCACACAATATGATGAAAAACTATGGACAAAAGGAATACAGAAATTTACAAAGTATATATAATAGAAACATATATATGATGTGATCTTTTTTTTTCTTTTTTTGCTATTGTTGAAAATCCAAAATTCAAAATATTTTTTTTTATTTTTGCTCATCCCCATGACCTCTTGTGAGCAACACTCTCTTCAAAACCAGTCACTATATTTGAAATAAATACTGTAGTTGTTTTAAACCGCATCTCTATAAAGCCTCTTATAACAGGTCACTGTGCTTTAGTCCTAAGTTGAGCAAAAATGGGAACAAGCAGAAATTGAATTGCAGTTCTGTCACTTTAAGTGTTGTACAATATTTTACTTTCTTGTAAGAAAATCATTAAAAACCCTGCTTCTTTATGTCGCTTGAACCCTAGTTGGCCTCAGCAGATGGTCGCTCACAGTGAGTCTGGTTCTACTGGAGTTTACTTCCTGTTAAGAGGGAGTTTTCCACTCCACTGTTGCTAAAAGCATGCTTAGTGTGAGGGATTGCCTTCGAGTCAATGCAATCAACTGGTTTTCCTTAGATAGATCACATGTTGTTAATTGGCACTATATAAATAAACTGAATTGAATTGAAATGAATCATTGTTCTATTTTAGAGCAGGTTGATGAAAGGAGCAGTCAACACACTAGCTAAATGTGAAGAACAACCAGAGCTTCAGTTTCCTTGTTTGCTAACTGCTAATTGTTGCTCGTTAGACGACAGAAACAGAATCTTTTTGCTTCAGCTTTGGTCTCGCCTAAGAACACCTTTATGAGTTTCTTGAAAAAAATTTTGCTTTTTTGTTTTGTTTTTTTCTTGGTTACTTTAGCTTTCATTTAAATTATCATTAAACTCTTAAAGGAGAAGGAAGGCTTTGCTTATCAGGCTACTTTAGCTGCACCTGTTACTTTTATATGATTATGTCAGAGGAATATCAATAGTATTGACAAAATGCTTTTTTTTAACAGATTTAATTTCTCTGTAAGGCCGTATTTGTTTTGTTTAGAGAACCCGCTGATAATAAAAAGAGACAGGCTGCACTTTCTATAAATTTTTTTGAGGCATGTTGCAGTAGCGATTAAGCAGATGGTAATCAAATGTTTTTGGTAGTGAAGTGAGGGAATTGCTTTTTGCAGACAGTTCAGCAGGTGGTCTTTGGTAAGAAAAAAAAGTTTTTTAAATACATCTTTGTAATTTGGCAAACATCTTGTAAGCCCTGAATGCTATTTTACACTGCAGGCAGGAAAAGCCGAAACAGCGTAGCATTTGCTCTTTAATTAGAATTTGTCACAGTAAACTCCCCTTTTGCTGCGCAGAAATACTTCCCACCCCACCTGTGATCATAAGTGTGGCTGTCACGACTGCAGCTGCTTATTACTGTGTCCCATTGTATATTTGAAAGCTTCAAATGTATTTTGCTTTCTCACTTGGAACACTGTAGGCAGAGAATGATAAGGATGCTCGCTAAATGGTGTAAATATCAGTGTAATTACTCTTCCATAATTGGGCGATTCACCGGTTTAGCATTTCAATGCAGCACAGCAAATACTTTAAAGAGCAGAAACACATTAGAAAATGTGTCTGCTGTTTCCTTTCTGTGTTGAACACTTGACCAACTGACTATGTGAATACTTTCTATACACAGATTTATATAAAAAATAAAAAAAATCATTGACTTCCTTTCTTGGTTTCATCAAGGTTACAAATGATATGCAGCCGATGAGGCCACAGCGTGAGGTACTCCAAAACAGGCAGTTTGTGTGTTTTTCAGCTGTGTTGGTGCAGATAATTATTGAGAGAGATATACGACGGATTTTTCAAGAAGCAGTTCAACAAATCTTTATCGTTCCCCAGCTGTGTGCAACACCTGGTGGAATCATGCTGTGGAAACACTGCAGGAAAACATGCATTTTGTAGGAGGGGGTGAGGAAGGAGGCTTAAAATGGAATAAAATGAAGTGAAAGACAGAGAATAAAAGAGAATATGGGTAAAAAAAGAGGGAATAAATTATTATTAAATTTGCATACTGCCTCAGGATTGCATTAGAGTTAATGAATATTTTGTCCTATAAATTATTCTTTTCTTTTATAAAATAAATTACAATTATTTTCTAATATCTAGCCCAAAGAGAGACAAACCAGTACTACAACAATTTTAAAACTGCATTTAAAGGTGCTAATTGTCCTATTTTTGCTAACTGGCCGAAAAAGACATTTTTTATATCTTTGATCTAGCTGAAATTCCACTTCACAAATAATTATTTTAAGTCATATTACACATATTAATATCAAGTATGGCGGCCTATTGGTATTTCTCTATGAGTTAGGAAAAAAAAGGTGTTCCCAACCAGTTATATGAAAGGTCTCTATAACCAATTTAAATAAGGGCCCTGTATGGGTATGGTTAAGCTGGTATGGTACTAAGAGATATTTAAAAAAGCTTCTAGGGTGAACAAAAAAACAATAGCATAAAAAATCTAAAGGAATCCTATAAAACATTAGTTTAATCTTAGAACAAAATTGAGTAATTTAGTATAGAATATAAACCTTGCTACAAACACATGGATGTGTCAAAAAGAAACTAGGAACCACACTCAAATCAACAAAGGGTTATGATGCAGGTCCAAAGATGTAAGCATCTGAGTAATGTGGTGGTCCAAAGTACTTACTCTTATATTTTATTTACTTAAGTAGTATGCAAATTAAAGTTAGCAAAGAAATGGTTTTCGTTTTTAATTTAATCCAGTTGGACCATTATTAGTTCTACTTGTTTTAATACATTTTAGATACACCAGACACCAAAAATGATCAAATTCCTAAACACAAATGTATAAAAAAATGTCCTTTAGGGATGAGGTTTGACAGATTGTTCCTTCAAACCATTTTCTAATTTCGAAATATTTGTTTTAGTTATCAAATATAACATTCTGAATTCATTCAAATATGTAGATATATATAATAGTATACAAATATTTTTGAATCAGTGAAACTTCTCATACCTGAACCGATCTGCATAAGTTTGTTCAAATACACCATAATGTACTGTGAATGTTGTTCACGTAGTGGACGAAATATTCAATTAAACCAGACAAAACATTTGCCATGTACGCAGGAAGTATTTCACTGTTTAAGATGATCACTCTTTATTTTACCAAAAGATGTATAACTTTATATTAATAACACATAAGTATTTTATGTGCATTTGTTCTAATACCTGTTTTATATACCTTTTTTGAAGATGTCTTTTATTTTTTTTTATCAGAAAATTACTATTATTGACCATGCAGTAATGAAAATACTCTAAACACTTGGAAATAGGGATACATATATAGTCCTTGTTAAAAGAAATATAATCATTTATTATTTTTCCATTAAACTGTACCTTTAATTAATAGAAATTATAGTTAGCAGATGTTAAACTAATTTAAAAAGGTGTTATTTTAATATAAAATCATTCCCATCAATCTCATTTCAATACAGCTGTAACTTGAGATTTCTTTTGTCAACATACAAATGTTTTTCAAATATATGAGTTTTTATAATTTCTGTCAACATTTGTAGATGTTCAGAGGGATGTTAAGCTTGTTTAGTAAAGGCAGGTGTTAAACATTTCAAAGCTCCATAAAGAGTTTGTCTCGTCAAACTTTTCTCCAAGAATCAGCAGCCATTAGCCTCCTCAAACAGATGTCAGGCGCTCGGAAATTTTTTATTTGAGGCTTGCATATCAGAGGCCAGCTGTAGTCAGACAGCAAAGCATTTTTAGCCAGCTGTTACATCAGTCTGTAACATGATAAAAAATAAAGCAGTGGAGGTCAATGTGACCTCTAGAGGAGAAAAAAGCAAACTTCCACTGAAGAACTGAGCTACCTTAACAGTGAGAATATAGTAAACTGATCACAACCAGGGTCTATGATTTTTACAAACTGAACATATAGCGAGTGTCTTACTGGTTCAGATGTTCACTATTTGTTATTTAACAATACCACATATGAATCCAGTTAAACCCCTAATTCACTCTGCAAGACATGCCTGAATTCATTAGAAGTAAAAGCAATTTTCAGGCAGAAAATGTCTTTAACAGAGGTCATTTTGATTAAAAATGCAGAACTTGTATCTGTTAGGAGGGCTGTGCACTCCCTTTTAAAGCATCAAAGCTGCTCCTTTCCAATCATATGGGAGGAAAACATGGCAGAATCTCATGTCGGCAAAGATCGCAGCGCTTTCAAATGAAGGGCACAGCCGTTGTTTTGATTGCAATGGGCCTGAGGACCAACGCAACATCTTCAGTGTGATGAGAGGTGTCCGCAGTGATTTGATGGACTGCCAGAGAAGCTGCTCCTGCGCAACGCTAACTGCATATAGATTCTGGCTAACGGGCTAATTTACAGGCACAGGTAGTTTACAATGTGCTCAGGAATATTCTGCACCACATCCCAAATGTACAGTCTGAGTTGCTTTATTAAAGCCTCCTCTATGAAATTGAACTCTGTGATGTCTTTTAAACATTCCAATTACAATGGTAAAAAATAATAATACTAACAATTTAGAAATATTGCTTAATTTTATCTTCATAAAACAAGTCAGGTTTGATTTATTTTAAGTGATCAGACTAAAATAGAGTAAGTAGAATATATCACTTATTATAAGAAAACAAGAAAACTCACTTATTACAAGAAAAACAAAAATGAAACCCTTGATACTTCACAAATGTTTGTGATAAAAAGCATTTACTAATTGATCATTAGAAAGTGTGACCTACTCCACAATGGCAAAATTTGGTTAAACACATTTATGTCACAATGTCGCTGAAAGACATCAGACAAGATTTCAGGGAAGCAAAGTTTGTGCGTTTATCAAAGACAATTTATATGCCCATTTTAAAACGAATTGCAACTTGTTATTTCTGACTGTAAATTACTCAAAGGTTGAATATAATTCAGATGGTTGCTAGTCATCCTAGAAGTGTGTATCAGGAAATTCAGCCCAAGGTTATAGTGAGCAATTCGCAAAGAAAAAACTGAAAAAATAAGCTTATATAGAGTGCTCATTTAGCTTGTCATTAATGTTCATAAAAGGGCTATTAAAAAAAGAGTAAGCCAGTATGATTGAAGGGATTGAAATGTTGTAGAGGAGAATTATTATAGCATGGTAGAGATATTACATCTAAACAGCACATCTCTATGTTTAGAGAAAAGTGATATAGGCCCACTTCCTGAGTATGTCAATGAGTCAGCGGTAACATCTTATTGTATTGAAGTACTCTAAAAAAAAATCTGAGGTCACCCGTCAAATGGCTAAAACCTTTACAAACTGGATCAGCAACAGAACAAAGATCTCAAACACAGCAGAATAATGAAATTATTAAAAAAGAATCAATTTGTAATGACTTAGTCTAGTCCAGGCCTCGACGGAGATGCGCAAAAAAAAAATCCTCAGAGTAAAACTTTAAAAATTACCTGAGTTTTGGAAGTTCTAAAACCATGAGAGTGACTTAGATGTAAGGGACTTATAAGGGGAGTGGTGGCCTAGTGGTTAGAACAGTGGCTTGTGCTCTGAGAAGGTTGCAAGTACCCGGGTCGATCCCCACAGCCTGCACTATGGGTTCCTGAGCAAGACGCTTAACCCCACACTGCTCACTGGGCACCACACAATGGCTGCCCACTGCTCCCCAATAAGATGAGTGAAATGCAGAGATTAAATTTCCCCAAACTTTAGCCAGAAAATAACTACAGTGAATTTTTGTACAAGTAATCAAACTGGGTTATATGTTTGCTTACAGTAGAAGCCATTCAAAATCACCCTTTCTCAGTCAAACACCAGCCGAAAGGCAGCCTACTGCCCTGCGACTCCCAGCCAAATCTCCTCCAGCTTCCAGCCACTGGCCTTCTCCTGGGCGTGTATTTGTTTTACTCTGACTGCATCCTTTCACTGAATTACAGGGTCTGTCCAGCAGATGATGCTTCTCTTTAGATCTTAATGTCCACATATTGTGACAGAAAGAATATTTTAGTACAAAGGTTGATGTTTAAAAAGGAATTGTAGGAGACCAGCCAAGGGCCCATCAAGGAAAGTGAGGACATTTTGAATGGCTACTACTGTAATAAGCCCAGAATTTTATCAATGACTTTCCATATTTTAGGTTATATTGTTATTATTAGCTTGTAAAGACAAGATAATTGTAATGCTTAAAATAGAAATTGGGGTAATTCAGGTCACAAGTTTAATTTTTAAACTTCTGGATGCATTTCAAAAACCTTCGAGCTACAGAATGTCACCTCAAAGACTGCAAGCAGGAGCTTCCACCTCAGTGTGAAATCATTTTACCGTTGGATAATTTTCTCTGCTTTATGGCATTGAGGATCTGAATTGAACAGAAAAATAGGTTAATAATGAAGGTACCTGTCCCACTTTGGCATTTTCACAAACAAAGGTTTCATAGGGGCTGGCCAGTTCAGGAGGGAACTCGTTGATGTCCAGGACGTGCACTGTGACGGCCACACGGCTGGTCAGAACTGGACTATCTGCAGAGTGAAGCACAAGATAAACAACCTTAGTCTTCTTTTCACAGTACTGACACCAAGTGGATATCTGTTGCACTACTGCTTTATGACTCAGCCAAGCATACAGTTTTATCACTGCTGCAACGGGACGGCTCACTGCTTAAAGATGCTGCAGTCCTCGGATATACAGTCAGTGTCCTTGAAAAGAGGCACTTTAAATCACTTTACACATGCTCCTTTTTTACTGATCATGGAAATAAACCAATATAGTAATCTAAAAAATTTAGGTTTTTAAAAGTTTAGCAAAATATAAAAAATATATTTCTCATATATCTTTTTCATTTTGGTTTGAGCGATGAAATGTGCCATCCACTGTAATTACAGTTTGAAAGCCCCCCTGAGTGAGACTAACTCAAAGTCAGGCTTGTTTGTTACACTGCTGCCTTCCTGCAGGGACACAATGGGGAAATGTTCCCTTCCTGTGAGTGGGAAACTTTATGGATTTAATGTGGGAATGGGCTTTGTTGTGCAGTGGGAGGCTTAGCGTGTGTAGAGGTATGTATTGTGGGTTGCCTAGGTTAGGTGTGTAGGTGGTGGCAGGGCTTGAGAATGGTGCTGTGTAGTCATCTTGAAAGGATTGAAGGAGCAGGCATGGCTTGGATGGCAACCTGCTTCTGACCTTGATGGAAAAAGCAATCTTCCCAGCCTCTCTTTGACAAAGAGCATGGGATTTACTGCTTTGCACTGACCCAGAGACTAACATTTAAGCTCATCCAGCAAAGATACTCTCAATCTTTTATCAAAATTATTTTTATGGGCGCTTCACTTTGGTGATAAGGTTGATAATATTAGACGTTAAACCCTACACTTACAGGTGCTGAAAAGTAAGAATTTCTTCTATCATTCGAAATACTAGTCTATAAAAGTTATGTGATGAGCAGTACATCATTTAGGCCACTTGATGGAGCAATAGCATAGTGGATACATTCCAAACTGGATCTGCTTTTCAACCCAATATACCCTTTGCTCTTTTTATTACATAGAGAATCACAACACGGCTTTCCTGGGAAACGCTTCAAAAAATGTGATAAAGTTGTCTTCTTAAACTGCTTAGCCGTTGCACTTCACTTTTTTTAATTAAATTCATTTTAATGAAACCATCTCATTTTTACAAGCAATCAAGCACGGAAAGATTTGGATATTAATCTCTTAAAAGTGTAACCCCTGACAGAATAAGTAAGAAGACTCACAACTCAAAACTTAATGAGAAGTGTGAAACAAAATTCATTTGCCATAAATAGAGGAGTCAGAGCGCTCTCTAATTGTGTCCTGCTAAGGTTATTATTGCATTTAATAGATCTTCCCACTCATACTCACTCCCTAAACATTGCCTTTCTGTTTAATTGGCAAATAGAAAACTAGTACTGCACTCCATGCACTTCCTAAGAACGCCCTAAAGCAATACCCATTGTGCCTGAGGATGGTTCAACTTACAGTGCTGTCTGCTTGATGCATGACTGCAGTGTTCAGGGTTAACCAGAAACTATTCAAAGTTTATTTTGTGAAAGGTTTCTCAAGTTATTTTCATTTATATATTGTACTTTTTATATCCAAAATTTACAATATTCAATATTTGTGTATAGGAAAATATGAGTGCATAAGCAGAGAAGACTTAGATAATAGTTATTTTAGTACAAAGGTCTAAAATTACTTACTGCTTGTTAAAAAAATATTAAAAAATATGCAGAAGCGTCTGATTCTGCTCCAAGCACTGGTGTTCTGTTTACCTCAGAAACCAAAGTTGGATCTGGGATTGACGTCACCCTCAATATAGTGTGCCTGTTGCAAATTGGAAAAACCGTTGGGATTTGCTAATTATTGTACCAATTGTACCAATAGACTCATTCAGTGACAGTAAAAACAGCTAAGGTGAATAAATAAATATATATATATATGACCACTATTTTCTATATGTATGACCATGTTGGATTTTGTGGATGAGATAAGTAAGGAAAGTCTGCATTTCTAATAACGGTACGACATGTCAGACAGTCAAAATTAAATGTCGAACGTCTTATCTTCCATTTTAATTCCAAAACAGTTGGAACATTAAATAAAGGAATCCAGTGCCAGGGCCTATAACAGCGGCAAAGTGCAAATGGAGCAAAGGTGTAAGCCTAGCAAATTCAGGATAACAGCAAAGTAAGCCAGTAAAGGTCCAGCTAAACAACTTATCTCTCAAAGAAACATGACATTTAGTAAATAAACAATATGTTCTTTCAATTATCATGGGTGTCACTAGTGCATGTTAGAACAAACCCCCAAAACACCAGACGTCATTTAGATGTTTTTAGACTTAATCTGGTCGTTCCATCAAAGTCTTTATTTTGTCCAGAAATAGTTGTTGAAATTTGGTGTTTGGCCAGTCTGATTTTATCCCACTTTAGTGTTACAATTGACTTAAAAAAAAACAACTTTCAACTATCTGAAAATGACCTCTTTTCACATATCACTTTTCAAGCAAATGTAGACCTGTTTGGACATAAATCATGTTGTCTTTTCAATGTCTTTATAACCAAATTTTGCTTGGTGGGAAAGATTATCACAAAAGCTTGGCACCTCCTCCTCATGATGGTCACCACCTTGGTACACATGGCTTATGGATGGGAGGCCATTGTTAAACTAGCCTTTGTTACAAGTTAGCCAACATACACTATATTGCCAAAAGTATTTGCTCACCCATCCAAATTATTGGAATCAGGTGTTCCAATCACTTCCATGGCCACAGGTGTATAAATTCAAGCACCTAGGCATGCAGACTGTTTTTACAAACATTTGTGAAAGAATGGGTCGCTCTCAGGAGCTCAGTGAATTCCAGCGTGGAACTGTGATAGGATGCCACCTGTGCAACAAATCCAGTCGTGAAATTTCCTCGCTCCTAAATATTCCACAGTCAACTGTCAGCTGTATTATAAGAAAATGGAAGTGTTTGGGAACGACAGCAACTCAGCCACGAAGTGGTAGGCCACGTAAACTGACGGAGCGGGGTCAGCGGATGCTGAAGCGCATAGTGCGAAGAGGTCGCCAACTTTCTGCAGAGTCAATCACTACAGACCTCCAAACTTCATGTGGCCTTCAGATTAGCTCAAGAACAGTGCGCAGAGAGCTTCATGGAATGGGTTTCCATGGTCGAGCAGCTGCATCCAAGCCATACATCACCAAGTGCAATGCAAAGCGTCGGATGCGGTCGTGTAAAGCACGCCGCCACTGGACTCTAGAGCAGTGGAGACGCGTTCTCTGGAGTGACGAATCGCGCTTCTCCATCTGGCAATCTGATGGACGGGTCTGGGTTTGGCGGTTGCCAGGAGAACGGTACTTGTCTGACTGCATTGTGCCAAGTGTAAAGTTTGGTGGAGGGGGGATTATGGTGTGGGGTTGTTTTTCAGGAGCTGGGCTTGGCCCCTTAGTTCCAGTGAAAGGAACTCTGAATGCTTCAGCATACCAAGACATTTTGGACAATTCCATGCTCCCAACTTTGTGGGAACAGTTTGGAGCTGGCCCCTTCCTCTTCCAACATGACTGTGCACCAGTGCACAAAGCAAGGTCCATAAAGACATGGATGACAGAGTCTGGTGTGGATGAACTTGACTGGCCTGCACAGAGTCCTGACCTCAACCCGATAGAACACCTTTGGGATGAATTAGAGCGGAGACTGAGAGCCAGGCCTTCTCGTCCAACATCAGTGTGCGACCTCACAAATGCGCTTCTGGAAGAATGGTCAAAAATTCCCATAAACACACTCCTAAACCTTGTGGACAGCCTTCCCAGAAGAGTTGAAGCTGTTCTAGCTGCAAAGGGTGGACCGACGTCATATTGAACCCTATGGATTAGGAACGGGATGTCACTTAAGCTCATATGTGAGTCAAGGCAGGTGAGCAAATACTTTTGGCAATATAGTGTATTTGTGGTGTCCACTCTGGCAATAACAGCTCCCACAAGCGGGGCCACACAAATGTTCAGCAAGAGTGAGGTCAGGGCTGACAGATTCTGTCTTTAGGGTTTTGAGACATGGAATCGCTACTGACTGCAGAATCTAATCTCACTAATTCGCCCTTTGATATTACACCAATTAATGTGAAGTCTTTTTCTATTCAGTAATATCTCAGGCCCACACCATCACTCTGCGTCTGCCAAAAGTTGTGTGGCCGCTGTGAAGAGGAATTACAAAGATACACAAGAATAGACTCAAGCCAAATGACTTGGAATTGAGTCAGACTCGAATCATGAATTTGATGACTTTAGACTTGACAAAGTGTGAAGAGAGTTGCAACTTGACTTGGACTTTCATATCAATAACTTGAGCCTTTTGACTTGACAAGACTTGCTACTTTCCCTAAAATTAAAAGCTTATAAAGAATGTAATCACAATGCTCTGTATCTTTTATTGTGTTTATGTGTGCACAAGGACGAGGCTTGCGGACAGGTAAGCCGGTCAGTTGCTTAGAGCCCTGGTCTCTAGAGGGCCCCCAAGGGCTCACAAATTATGCTCCACAGCAACAACAAGAATGGGCATTTACTTTGCAATTAAATTACACCTTACCAGATGTGAGAGATTTGGAGTCAACAAGTCATCTCCATGCCACGTATTTGTTCTGCCTAGCTACTGAACCAAGTGAATCCAATCTGCACAATTTCATTCTCTGTGCAGACTGGACTCACCTGGTTCAGTGGCCTGGCAAAACAAATACACGACACCGAGATGGCTTGATGGCTTCACATCTTCTATCTCTGCACCATAGTTACAAACCCCCTTGTTGGGCCCACGCCTTCAGTCTGCATCTGATGCTGTTGGCATGATCCTACAAAACCTATGTTGGTAGGCAAGGTGGTAAATGCCAGTGTCCATACGTTAACAGTTAGGTCTTGATGAATGTTAAAGAAGATGCAGAATTGTTAGCAGGTTAGCTAGCAGGAAGTTGTGTTCCACTCTTTAGTCTCCATGTGCAGACAACAACTAATATTAGTATAAAGAGCAAAAACAATAAGAAAATACAATACAATACAATACAATACAATACAATAACAAAATTACATATTGTGCATAAAAAATATGCATAATGATGAATTGATGATGAGATAAAATTCATTGTGCTCAGTGGGGGAAATTTGTATTGGGCTTTTCACATGATAAATGAAATAAAACATGAACATTTAAATATAATACATGTGAAATTAATGTGTGCCATTATTTTTGGATTGACTTATGTTTCCCTCTCATTAGGCATTGCACTATAATTTATAATATTTTAAGCCCTCTAAATGTTCTTTGTAACAGTAGCGTAAAAGTTGTTGTAGAAGAAAATGCTGTGCACATACAGTACATTATCATGCCATTAAATATTCTCATTTGTCCTGTTGTTGTTTTTTTTTTCTTCTCTTTCTTTTTCTTCTCTATCAGCAGGTAGTCCACCAGATCGGGGCAGAGAAGGTGGGAGGCTGAGTATACACCTGGAGGCTAACTGGGAAGATCTGACACTGGGCAATGTGGGGGGTAAGGTCAACTGTGGAAACTATGTGAGAAGAATGAATGAAGAATGATTTATCAATTTTTTCAAGGGCTAAATTAAAAAAAAGATTTTTCACACTGTAAAAAATCCAAAACTAGATAAGTCAATTTTTCTT